GGTCCCAGGGCAGGTTTGGACCCCCCCATCACTCCCTGAGGATGATTTAGGGGGTCCCAGGGCAGGCTTGAACCCCCCTCAGTCCCTTGCAGCCACCGCGCTGTCCCCTCAGCGAAGCTCCGCGACCCCTCCTGCGCCATCCCGCCCACGCCCAGACCCCCTCGCTGCTCCAAACCCCCTCAGGCGGGATCCGCCCGCCCGGGGCCGACGAGCCGAGCGCGGGGCACCCGGGGCCCTCACGGCGGCCTCACCGCGGGCCGCCGGGACCCCGCGGCGCGCAGGCCCCGCGCCCCCCCCGCTTCCCCCCGGTCCCTGCCGCCCCCCGGTGCCCCCGGGGAGGATCCGCACCTTGTCCTGGGGCTCCCGGGCCCCGCCGGGGCCGCGCCCGGGCCTCAGCCGCGCCTCGCTCATGCCGGACCCGCGCCCGCCGCCACCGCCACCGGGGGGCGACACCGCACGGGCACAACCGCCGGCCAATAGCGCCGAGGGGGCGGGGCCTGCGCGGGGGCCAGGCCAATGGCAGGCGTGGGATGGGCGAGGGGGCGGGGTTTAGGGGGAGAGGCATGGCCGCGCCCAGGTGTGCCCGGATGGTGGGGGCCGCCATAATGTGTGGCGCGAGAGAGCGCGCGGGAAGGTGGCGGGAGAAGCGTGAGGGGTTTGTCGCAGGGGACAGAAGGGCTTGTGTTATGGCTGGTCTTGGCTCAGGTGCCTGAGGAGAGGCGCGCACCGAGCCGTCCGTACGGCCAGGCCGCCTGTGAGGGGCCGGCGGCGCTGCAGCCACCGGGCACTGCCGCCAACGCTGCGCAACGAAGCGAGACGCGCGGCCTGTGTAAACCGCGCGGTGATTGGCTCCCGCCGCACGAAGGGGCGGGTCTAAGGGGAGGAGCGGCGCTGGGATTGGCCGGAGCGCGGCGGGGAGCTGTATGTGAGCTCGGAGGGGCTTGGGCTGAAGGAGGAGAGCGGCGCTGGTGATTGGCTGCTGCGCGGCGGAGGGCGGGGCGGCGGAGTGCATAAAGGGGGCTTGGCGGGCCGGCCTGGTGGATTTTCGGTTGTTCCGCCTTGAGTTCCTTTCGTGCCGCTCTCGCGGGTGCTGCTGCTAAAACACCGCCAGGATGTTCGAGGCGCGGCTGGTGCAGGGCTCGGTGCTCAAGCGAGTGCTGGAGGCCCTCAAGGACCTCATCACCGAGGCCTGCTGGGACCTGGGCTCGGGCGGCATCAGCCTGCAGAGCATGGACTCCTCGCACGTCTCCCTGGTGCAGCTCACGCTGCGGTCGGAGGGCTTCGACACGTACCGCTGCGACCGCAACATCGCCATGGGCGTCAACCTGTCCAGGTCAGCCGGCGGCGGGCTCTCCTGGGGCGCTGCCATGGGGCGCTGCCATGGGGCGGCTGTGGCGCTCAGGGCTGCGGGGAAGCGCTGTGAGGGGAGGTGTGGGGGGTGCCCTGGAGGTGCGGGGGTGCCGGGGGTGCTCGCAGCCCCTCAGCCTTTTTCTCTCCCCTCCGTTCCCCTCACGGCTCTCGCGCCGTTTTTCGCGGCGCGCGGCGCGGCCGTGACGTCACTGCCGGCGAGTGGCGGGAAAAGGCAGCGCTGGCGGGAGCCGCCGCCATGGCTCCGAGCGGGGAGGGAGTGACGGCTCTAAAGCCCTGCCGCCCTCTGGAAAGGCCCTGCAGAGCCCCCGGGAGCGGCAGGAGCAGCACTGCCGGCGGGCCGGGGAGCTGCTGGTCCTTCCTGCCCCGCTGGTCAGAGAGGAGAGACACGGAGGGTGACAAAGATGAGGGGCCTGGAGCCTCGGGAGGAGACTGCTGAGAGAGGGAAATCATCCCTATGTGTCAATACCCATGGGAGGAGCAGAGGATGGGTCCAGGATCTGCCCAGCCGTGGGACAAGAGGAAAGGCAGGGGCTGAAGTTCCACCCCGTGTATGAGGAAGAAGTTTGTGGGCGACCAAGCACTGGAAGAGATCGGCCAGAGAGGCTGGGGAGTGTCCCAAGAGTGTTGGAAGGAGAGCCTGATAACTGTGCTATCACATCCCTTCCTGCCCTGCCAGCTCCCAGCCCCGTGGCTCACCTGCCTTTCTCCCCTGCAGCATGTCCAAAATCCTGAAATGTGCAGGGAATGAGGACATCATCACCCTGCGGGCCGAGGACAACGCCGACACCCTGGCTCTGGTGTTCGAGGCACCCAGTGAGTGGGGTTCTCACTGGGGGAGCCCTTTGTTCCTGGGCTGTGCTGGGAAATGCAGGAGGGAGGGACATGGCAGTGGGGCCTGCAGGAGTGGGAGGGGACACCTGAGTCTTGGGACAGTTTGGATATAGAAACTTGATCAAGTTGATAAATATTTTCGTTATAAGAGGAGGAATGTTTCAGGCTGCACAGAGATGTTTTTGGCTGTACCCTTACAGCCTGTGAAAGGCTGCTGCAGCAACAAAGGGAAACCTCACTGTCATTATTGAGGGGAGTGGCAGCAGTCCAGTTGGTGTTTGTCACTCTGCTCTTTGCTGTAACCCTGCTTTGCTTCTGCAGACCAGGAGAAAGTTTCTGATTACGAGATGAAGCTGATGGATCTCGATGTGGAGCAGCTGGGGATCCCAGTAAGTAACAGCTCAGGTGACTGGTGGCACTGGGGCGGAACTGGGCTCACATCACATCCCGCAACACAGCGGCCTTGGGAGCGCTGGACAGGCCTGGGGCTGGTAGGGTGTCCCTGGGAGCGCCCCAGCCCTGGCAAGGTGTCCCTGTGGGTGCCACAGCCCTGCCAGGCTGTCCTGTGGGTGCCCCTGGCCCTGGCAGCTGTCCCTGTCCCCCAGGAGCAGGAGTACAGCTGCGTGGTGAAGATGCCCTCGGCCGAGTTTGCACGCATCTGCCGGGACCTGAGCCACATCGGCGACGCCGTGGTCATCTCCTGCGCCAAGGACGGCGTCAAGTTCTCGGCCAACGGCGAGCTGGGCAACGGCAACATCAAACTGTCCCAGACCAGCAACGTGGACAAGGAGGAGGAGGCTGTGAGTTGCCATGCAGGGCTCGGGGCTTTGCAAAGCCACTTCTCTGGGGGATCCTGGAGCTGGGGAAGGGTTGAGGTTGGAAGGGGTCACTGAGGGCCAGCCCTGCGGTGAGCAGGGACAGGGCCATGAGTCCCTGAGTCTCTGCAGTGTGAGCCTTCCTTGGGAGCTGCAGCAGTGCTGCTCCAGCCCTGGTGGCTGTGGCCCGAGCTGTGCCAGGGCTCTGGAATCCTCTCCCACTTGCTGCTCCCAGCCCTGGTGGCTGTGGCCTGAGCTGTGCCAGGGCTCTGGAATCCTCTCACCTCCCCAGGTTACAATAGAGATGAACGAGCCGGTGCAGCTGACCTTCGCCCTGAGGTACCTGAACTTCTTCACTAAAGCCACCCCCCTGTCCCCCACAGTCACGCTCAGCATGTCTGCAGATGTTCCTCTGGGTGAGTGCCAGGGCAGAGCTGAAGCTGGAGCTGAAGCTGGAGCTGAAGCTGGAGCTGAAGCTGGAGCTGGATGTCTCACAGAACCCTCTGAACTCCCTCTCTCCCTTCTCTCCCGCAGTTGTGGAGTACAAGATTGCTGACATGGGACACCTGAAGTACTACCTGGCCCCGAAGATCGAGGACCAGCAGGACGGCTCTTAACTGGAGCAGGACTGGGAGAGATCTGCTCCTGGCTGGAGGCAGCAATTCCAGAGCCTTGGAGCATCCTGGGAGCACTGTAGCTGTGTCTTGTAGATACCTTTGTAAATACTTTTCAACTCTCTTGTTTTGCTATCCTGGTGTTATTGGAAATAGGAAAGCTGAGTTTTTCTACTCTGTTCCTGTACTCCCAACAACCTCTCAGATGCTGTTGAAGGTGAAATTTCTTACTCCTTGCAGCTGCTCTTGGAGAAGAGGGGCAATATTTAATGGGTCAAGATGTATCCTGGAGTTTCCCCTGTGGAGCTGTAGCTTAGGGTTGCTGTTTTATTATCCCACCAGTTTATGTGACCTTACTTCATTTATTTTTGAAGCTGATACTCTGACTGAAACTCAGAAAATGGAAATAAAGAATCTAATTTCCTGGGGTTTGTCGTGTTTAAATGTGGGTGGGTGAATGGTGCTTTTGAAGCTGTGCTGATGTGCCCTGACTCCCTTGCCAAGGCCCAGAGTTCAGCTTTGGTCACTCGGGTGTGGAGGAGGTGCCTGGTGGCACCTGGGGACAGCTGGTTCGCTGGAATTCACGTTCCCATGAAGGCGTTTCCAACCTAAACACTTGCCCGGTTTTTTTGGGAGGCTGTGCTCACTAAGACACGAGAATGCTGGGGACAACCGCCTGAAGAGCTGTCCCCGGCGGGTGACAGGGATGGCACCAGGTGGCAGTGCCGGCCACGAGCGAACCCCTCTGCTGCCTGGGGGGACAATCCCTGCTCGGGGCTGGGGACAGCCCTGCCCGGCCAGAGGATCACCCGGCCCTGGGGACAGCACTGCCCTGGGGACAACACTTTCCCCGGCCCAGGGGACAGCACTGCCCTGGGGACAATCCCTGCCCGGCCCTAGGGATCACCCAGCCCTGGGGACAGCACTGCCCTGGGGACAACACTTTCCCCGGCCCAGGGGACAGCACTGCCCGGCTCTGGGGATATCCCTGCCCTGGGGACAATCCCTGCCCGGCCCCGGGGTTGGGGACAGCCCTGCCCTGTCCTGGGGACAGC